AAAAAAAGAATATACAATGTGTCAGCTTAATTAAGCACCGCAAAGAATTAAATGATACCATACCTCGGTGCATTCTGCTGTACAGTATCCAATGCTGAGCCAGTCCTTTTGTTTGGGGGGTATGATGTGCCAGTTATTTACTTTCACTCCTACTGATACAATTCCACTGTCATACTTACGAAGTTTGTCGGTGTAATAAATCCGAACACCTGAACTGTCAACACGGCCTTAAACATTGAAGATGAATACGAAAAGCATAAGCAGTTGTAAGAGGAGCCCTTGTATGAGGAAAGAGGTACAATATTCCCGCCGTTGCGTCGTCATTGATGACACAACATTTAATTAAACTCTCTCCAACTCTTAGATGTGATCCATATCAGCGTGTGATAAAACCCTAAATTCCTTTATCGAATCTGCCATTCATCATAGGCAATTGTCTAAATTTGATATTAGATCATCTTTACTCACTCAATGAATCACCACAAAACTCTCACTTATTCCTTAGTGAGACTCAATTTACCAAGCAAACTTCAGACAAGTATAAGCTCCTTACCTGGTACATTGCTTGGATTATCATAATGCATTTCCAACAGGAAATTCTTGGGTGAATCATCTGCGCCGAGTGGAAATCCCGCGTGCAGAGGGTAATAAAACGACTGTTAAAAAAAAACAAAAACAAAGATGGAGTAAAATAGCACAATAATTCATGGAACTTTAGAAGATTTTAGTAAATTTTGAGCTGTCAAATAAAGAAAAATGGTATCCGTCTCGTTAAGAGCAAGTAATCAAGAGAACTCTGAGCTTCCCACTAGGGATCGATCCACAGACCTTCGGATTTCACACTTTGATGCTCTATCACGAAGAGACAGAAAACTCTATAGTGACCTACTGTTACTAGGTGCATACATAACAAGAGGCTGCCTGCCTACAATTTACTGTTGGTACAATGTCGAGAGCGCCTTTTTTTTTAGTTTGCTTGGCAAATATAAACAGATTTTAAGTGTCTGGCCAAAGAAATTAAGCTAGGTACATATATTTATTGCTAGTACTTCATCTAAAGAAATGTGTTGAATGAAAAGTTTGACAGCCTTTAGGAGCTCGTCATCATTAGGCGAAATCGCCCTTCCATGCGAGTGAATTTCGTCACTGCCAGGACGAAGTTCACGTTATTCTTAAAACTGCCAGTTAGTTTAGGATCAAGAGACAAGAATACTTCTCGCATCTTCTTAGCGGCACTAGTATGGAGAATTTGTAAAGAGTAAAAATGCCAATGGTAATGGGGCCCGAGGAAATAATGCAAAGATGATACCGCGCACTTATTCGCCTAAATACATGATGTGATGCGCAATACGGGATGCGTAATGCTGAGGAATCACGTTAAGTGAAGGCTTACACAAAATTGATTTTTTACCTCTCCCCCAACAGCCCAGGCGACAACAATACTGGCCTCTCGGCACCTGGCATAAGGCATGTTAGCTGTGTCCATGCAGTCCCTGCCTTGATCATAATCATTTTCAGTAAAGTTCCCTTCACATTCGTAAAGAATAAGATGATGAACAAAACCTTCATTGCCTTTCTGTACAAGTGGTTCGACCTACAAAACAGAAGGAAATTAAGAGTTGCAGACTGTTTTATGATTGTGACAAGCACGAGGGGATAGAAAAGTCTTCATCCTATACGTTAAAATAGTCAAGCACATCTCCAGTCTTAGTCATGATTTATTAAAAGAAAATCAACACATGAAATGACGCACAAGAACCACCCAGGCAAGGAAGAAAACAAACGGCAACCGGACTGATTGGTGTATAATTAAGGAAGTAATGCGGTAAGTAAGTCCAAACTGACCAAGCGATTTGTAATTAAGAGCGTGCTTATGCTTGGATTGCACGACACCAAGAGGAAATAATGGGAAAGAGACTGAAAATTGGGGCGTTGGCCAGGATATGTCGATTTCACTAAGATCAGGTTACTGACTTTCATCCGGATGTCACGAAACTTACTTACTTCCTTTTGAGAGACTATCTATAAATAACTGACATTAGAGTATCCTGCTCTGTTCCATTTTTTTTTATCTCGATGACACCAATTTCTGGACTAATTGGCTGAATGAATAATGAGATAACCCTGCAAAATTCTTTAGTCGTATGTTTACAGGTGGTTTCGATTGCATTATTCACATATGTTTGGTAGCCGTGATGTGTTCATTTCTTTTATTTTCACTTTCGAACTGAAGCTGAAGAGTATTAAAATGTAACTTTATTTTCACTGGACATTAAATGTCCGAATTTATCCGGGTAATTACAAGTGCTAATACCTTTGTGATGTGATGTTTGGATTGCAGTTCGGGAGCTTTGATCAGAGCGCACCAGTAAGTTGTTTCCTTGGCAGGGATTGTTACCTTCAAAGCAAATCAGAAAGTTTGATTTAAAATACTAAAACATGAAAACTTTAGCCTAAGCTCAGTGTTAGTGGTCAAAAAAGTTCTCAAACCAATCGGTGTAAAAATGTCTTTGAAGAAATGATCCTCGTTGCCATTAAAGAAACTTAAGTATTAGAGTTCCACAGTAACTAGTTTGGCATTTCTACCGACTTAGTTACCAAGCCATATGTGCATGTTGAAGAAGAAGTACAGATTCTTCGTTCCCGTTAAGAAGTGTGATCAAAATCAGACGAAATAAATTATTTTTCAAGTTAAATAAAGTAAATAACCGGTCCTCGTAAATGAGCAGCAATTAACGAAATTTCATAATTACAGGCTTCGACGGCATGCTAGACGGTATTAACAATAACTGAATAGTTCTTACGTTCTTAGTAGTTATAGGAAAAGAGAGCCAGCCAGTTTCGTTGATGTTTCTTTTATCCATGCTATTAAGAAGCATAAGTGTTCTGCTTCCCCTGAACGTGTGATACTTTATCTTCGATTCTGAGGCCGGGTCATCGTCATGATATGCGAACACAACTTTGGTAGCTCCAGCCTGTGAACATACACCGACCGGTGATCAAAGAAATAAAGTTTGCTAGCTTGCAAGATGCTATCTCGTAATATCGATGTGATGATTAAACATGTCCTTAAAGCTTATAGATGTAAACTTCGTGACTTACTCTCTCCTTTTAGCTGCACCAGCGACAAATTCATGATCAAGCTTAGTTTCCTGTAAAACTGAGCTGTTTGATCTGAGTTCGAGATCACATTTCACGAATTAGCAATGCTACTTAACTATTATCTTAGACAAAAAACTTGGGAGACAGAAACAACTTCTACTTAGCTGATAACACAAGCTCTATCCAGAAATTAGGCGAGCATTTAACATTTATATTTCCATTTTGGTCTTCTTCACAACAGTATTTTTGTTATGGTAGTCAGATATACTTAACTCTTTTCCATTCCGGAACAAAAGCGAAAAAATTAACCACATTACATTCTCAATTTTTTATTTCTAAATCTTACTTTGTATCTACAGCATGAATGAATTTTAATTTTCCAGTGGAAAAATAACGGGAGATCCTCCTTCCTAACCCTGACTTCATGTATTTATTTATTTTTTTTTTTTGAGCGAGTTGCAGGATTTTTTTGGTTTATCTTGTTTAAGGCCCAGACTCAGCAGTTCAGTTTTTACTATGTGTGGGCTTGGGAATACCAAATCCGAAAAGGGAAAAAAAGGGGGGAGGGGGAGGGGAAATAGCAAGAAAAATAGATGGCACCGACTCCGTCCTTACACTCACTGTCCTAAACTGATTTATTAGAACAACAAACCCTCTCTCGCTTACACAATTATTCTGACTGAAGACCTGTTCGATTTTACCTTTTGTTTCGATTGGGTTCTTTGCTCGTGTAATATAAACCTGTTTTTGTCGTATTGCTTGATGAATAACATATCTAGGCGATACGCCTTCAAAACTGTCAATCTTAATAACGCGTTCCCTTATGTCGTAACGACATGGTACAAAATCCCAACACTTACCTCAAGCTTCCTGTCGCGCGAATCACATGTGTCAAACTCTCGTTTAAACTTAAGCACAGTTTTTCCTCCACTCTCTTCAAATCCTATCAGTTTGTAATCCTGCTGTTCATCGACTGGTGGAAGTTTTTCCTCATCTGCAAAACGATCCTGTAACGGAATAAAAGATAAGCACAGAGGGACCCCCTTATTCAAACCTCCCTCTTGTTGTATATTGCGTTACATAAGGTCTCTACTGGAAGGAACTTCCAATCGCGCCGTAAATCTACTCTCCTATGTGAAAGTAAAATAACTGATTACGAGTGTCGTACGTTATATATATTATCCTGATGATTGAATAAAAGACAGTTCATATAGAGGAATGAGAGTGTTCACTTGACCTACGAGTAATCTACACCCCTAACAGCTTGGTAAAAACGTCGGTCGATAAACTTCAAAGTGTCAAACAGGGTTGATTGACACGTCCCAAACTGATCTCTTATTAAAAAGACTAAATGAGTGGAAATGACTGTTGAATTTGCAAGAACGGTAAAAGCACGATCACTTATTAATAGAATAAGAGAGATGGTAAGTTTGATCCCTGCAGAGAAATATAGAGATGATGATTTTCGTCTTGTCACGAGCGTTGAACAAAGGAAAAGTTCCCATGAGAAATCGAACCTCAGATCTTCGGAATTACGAATTTCACAAACGTCCTGCATACTGCAGGATCAGCAATGTCACGCTCGTGGCAAGACGAAAAACATCTTTCCCTATTTCTTTACCGGGCTCAAGACTCTCTTATTCTATTTACAAACATCGCGCTATTGACATTGCTGATCCTGATCGAAATGAAATGAAATACTACGCGCAGATTTAGTGGGAGCTTTACATAACAGTAGCAGTCACAAATCCAAACATGCTCCGTTCCCTTAGTCCGAAATGAGACAAGTAGATTTACATCCTTACCCGAAGATATCCCTCGTTATTCTTCACCCAGCCTATAACAACATCGCTTCCGATCATAGCTCCAGAGCGGCCGGAGAATCCAAATCCTACCCACCCAGTGGTTGCTGCCTCCACAGCGAAATAAACCATTTTTGCGTCCCAATCAACGGTCCAGTATAGTTTCATTTTTTCTGCTGGGTCCAGGACGGCATGATGAGCAAACTCCGAAGACAGACCAGCGATTGCGACCGAATGGATTGAAACGAAGCACAGGAAAAGAACCAGTGGACTCGCCATCTTCGGTAACGTTGTTTGTTCCAGTGTGTGACCAACACCTATTTTCCTTTGTGTACCCACATGTAGCCCAAGCTCCAGCTGTGAGATGAATCATCTTACGTAATAAGCGTCATGGCGGAAATATGAGTTTGTATGGGAATATTTACGATCGTTCTTAGGAAGTAAAAATACAGTCAAATTTTCAATGAAAAATATCTCACCTTACTACCAAAGTGAATTTCTTGTTGTCTGACCGCTTACTTTGTTTAAAAGGGGCCATTACAGCGAGTTATTTCGTAAAAAGACGCTTCAAACGGCCCATGAAGGCTAAAAAAATTTCCACAAATGAGTTGATTAACATTTTATTTAAGTTAATTGAGATATTAAGACCAAAATATAATCTAGATATGCAATTTTCAGAGCTTTCTTCATAACCCTCATACGTTTTGTTCGTCTCATGTCAATTAACAAACAATTCAATCCAGTTTCCGGAAAACTGAACTGATGGTTAAAATTGTTTCTCTTCTATATTTTCAGGATTTCTCATTCTAAGACTTACATTAGCGAGGTGAAGACAGTCTTTAAAATCCGCAAATTAGAAGCTGCAAATGTTTAACGGTTCACGCTTGCGAACAAGAAAACATCGTTTTATTATCAAGTTGAATGTATCAATCCAGCAATCCCTTAATTAGATCCGAATCCGACCAAAATGTTCCAACGATTTTTCCTTTCGTAAAGAGTTTATGACAAGAATGGCTTAAACTTGGGAGTTTGAATTTAATTCATCTAACTTCATAAAAACGAACGATCGTAGGGACTATAAAGTGTTATAACAGCGTAATGCATAGCTCGTTGTTTTGAAGCCAAAATAGCCAGATCTTATTTATTAGAATTAAGGCTGATATCATCCGGAGCAAAATGAAGAGACACCCGAGGATTTCACGAAATATGAACTCCTTAGTTGTTTTAGATATCAGCTTGCCCGCTCTCTATTAATTATTAACATCTATTAATTATTAACATCAAATGCTTCATTAAGTAGAAAAAGAATATTTTCATGGAGATTTTTCAAGAGAGGAGCGGTAATAATTAATCACTTTTGGTTGCTTTTCCTCAGCCTTCCACGTCAACGCATTCAAAACTGTCAGCCGCTATTTCGCGCGCCATGGTTTTCGTTACATCTATGATATTTCTTGCTTTTCACATGATTTTTGCCGAGGAAAAGCATGTTGGTCATCCATGCCCTACAGCCGATGTTACTATTGGAAAATTTAAAGCCATTCCTTTCCACTACTTATGGGCAGAGAAAGTGACATCGTCCGTGGTAAATGATGAACTGGAGTGCACTTTCTTTTGTATTGGTACACTAAAGTGTTATTCGTTTAATATAGCTGTGTATCCTGACTCTGAAGGTCTTTATCTCTGTGAGTTGTTGGCCACAGATAAGTACAGAGAAACTGAGAAATTTTCCGTCAACTCTACCTTTCATTACTATTTCCCAAGGGTAAGTTCGATATTTTGTCGCATCTGGATGTTTTACCCCCACTTCTGGATTTCTTTCATTGTTTTGTAACTACCCCAAAGTTCAAGTTTCGAGCGTTAGCCTTCGTTATTCGCTTTGACGAAAGGCTAACGCTCGAAACGTCAGCTTTGACATTCTTTGTGGTGATCAATTTTACTTTATCAACTCTCCCACTGACGCAGCACCACAATTTCTTCAGAAATTTACCCTCTTTTTTCAAAACATTACTAAGTTTAAGAGCTATTTTTTGTTTATATCTTAATTCACACTGCAGCGCCATTCTTTGCTTTATTACAGTCTTGTGAAGGCGCTCCTTGCAAGAACGGTGCTGTCTGTGTTCCTGAATATAAAAGGAACACCTATCACTGTGAATGCAAGCCAGGATACGTTGGAACTATCTGCGAACAAAGAGGTGTGTCTTTAAATATATTTTAGTCAGTGTTATCGACGAACTCACGAAAACTAGAGGCAATTTCGAGTGCTCCTAATACATCGCAGCAGTAACAAATACATTTCGACTGTACCGAGAAATGTGTAGGTAAATTTGCAGGCCGTTTGTTAAAAAATAACGGTACCGTATACAGCAGCTGACCAGATAAAGAAATAATTTTCCGACAAAAATGTATAGGAGCAGCACGAGAGGGGCCGTCTGAATGAATTAAAAATATTTTGGACAAATATCTCAGGTAGAGACAATGTATAAAGTGAAAAGTTCCTCAATTTTGGAAATTTCACAGTTTTCTTTTGGATAAGCGGTTGTTACTATGGTTATTGTGATCAATTCTGTGGTCGGTAGATTTGGCTAAAAGGAATGACTATGATTGGCTGCTTCAACTGTCTGATTACAGGTGTCCGATTACAGCCAACCGTCCGATTACATTATCCTATTACAAGTGCACAGAATGATTTGTGAAAAATATATCAGTTGATGCACCAATCACATTTGCGGAAATTGTAATGGTTATGATTTGGCTAGGTCTTACGTTTTTTCGAAATTATCGATTGATTCTTACGGCAGGATCAAAGGAAAAGTGTACACAGTGTGTTTGAATGAGTATAGAAACATGAAATTAAAATGCCTTTAGCTCTATAAAACCTATAAGATGTATGGAACAAAAGTGTGAGACAAGAAAACGAATTCAGTACCAAACCATCATATTCCGTGCTGCAATGAGTTTACCCTGAGCCTTCAGCTACAATGAACTGTGTGGTAAGCTACGCCGAGATTAGATTCATGTGTAATATGCGTTGTGCGCCGTTCTAGGATCGGTAGTGTCGAAGGATCATGTCAGCAAGTCGATATGGAAAATGGTTACTTTAAGGCTGGGTCATGAAATAGAGAAACGTTTTATTCTTCTTGTCAAAAGGGTTGTACAAAGAAAAGTAACAAGAATCTTGCATTTTGCAAGGAACGTCGGGGTTCAGCTCGTACGAGTGACCGCTTCATTCAGGGTATCCAATAAATGCAGGTTTCACTACGCTAAAAATTGGGAGTAGTTTGGTGCCCAACGTTTCAGTTCATGGAATCAGATCAGAAGGTTGACACACTTTTGTGTTTAATCAAATAGGAAAGACATGCAGTGACATCAAATCTCACAGCTCACGTGCCGCTAGTGGTTCTTACGTAATAGACCCCGATGGAGAAGGTGGCTACGAACCTTTTACTGTGTTCTGTGATATGACGGATAAAAATAGAGTTGGCGTGACAGTTGTTGGTCACGATAGCGAGGAAAGAATGCTAGTTGATGGATATGATGACGAAGGGAGTTATGTTCGCTGCGTTCATTACGCTGGAGCTGGGCTGTCAAGTGTTGCACAATTAGCTGGCCTGCCTGTTGCCTCTGCCCATTGTGAGCAGTTTATTAAGTACGAATGCTATGGATCACTTCTGTTACTCGATGGATTTGCTTGGTGGCATTCACGTAATGATGAAGCAATGAAGTATTGGGGAGGAGTTGCATCATCTAACATCAATAAGTGCGCATGCGGATTGAATGGGTCATGCGCAGATCCAAATCTGGGATGTAATTGTGATACCAATGATGGCGTGTGGAGAGTGGATAGTGGCTTACTGACTGATAAGTCTGACCTTCCTGTGTTGCAACTGAAGTTTGGAGACACTGGTTTTGATGGGGCTGGAAGAGATGAAAAGGGGTATCACACTCTTGGAAAGTTTAAGTGCTATGGCATTGCTTAAGTTTTCCATGACTTTGTCAGTAATGTATAGGTCGCTTCTCTCCAAGTAATAGCATGAGTAATGCAAATAAGTAAGAAGAAAAACAAGTACTATAAATGATTTTTTTTAACCTCAGAAAAAGGAATCGGTTGAATAGTTACGGCATTTTTATTATGTGTTCGTGCTTAGTTAGATTACCCTCGGGACTTATGAATAAATTTCATTAATAATCCCTTTATGTGGTCACTAGTTCATTAAAAATACCGCACACTTAAACATTTGACACAAATCAATTAATGCTAATTCCAAGAAGAAAATACTGGTTGAAATAGATAGGTCAAATAAAATATTAACATCCTTATCGCAAATATGAGAGAAACTCTTCGACATTAATATGAAATGATTTATCCTAAACTGATGAATAAAGATGACGAGTCTCGTTGTATTCTGCGGTCTCTTGCATTATGTTTGAGAAATGTAAAAGATAATAAATATTTATGGCGTTCAAGGCAGAATTATTGCGTGCACAGTCCACACTTCAAGCCGGACGTTTGAAAACGAATTCAAGCGCGTTGTCTCCGACTTTTGATATGACTCTTTTTTGTCAAATTTGGCTGAGGCCTTTCTTTCAAATCTTATTTATTTTTTCCATGACCGAGTATAGCTTTTATCGAAACACAAGAGGTAACCTCAATTTTGGTAAATTTAAGCGTGATCGCATTCATTACTTATGGGAAGAGAAACTAGCATCGTTCATGGTGGAAGATCAATTGGACTGCGCTTTCCTTTGTGATGGTGAATCAAAGTGTTATTCATTCAACATGGCAGCGTATCCTGACTCAAGAAGTAATTATCCTTTCTTGCCCTGACTCCAGTGGTCTTCATCTGTGTGAGTTTTTGGCCATTGACAAGTACAGCGTAACGGAGAAGCTTCAGGGAAATAATTCTTTCTATCATTTTAGCCTCGCGGTAAGAAAACAATAATTCCTCCAGGAGTTAATAGGATGCATTGAATGTTTTTTATTTTAAAATACTCAACGATACTAAATACCAAAACGTCTAATAAAATATGTTTATAACGATTCTGCTTACTCTGTAGGGTTTTCTTCTACGAGAAAGCAAGTTACGTAAGAATTAGCGACAAAAGTGAATTTCAAAATTAATTAACAACTTTTTTGTTTTGCTGTTTTGTTCAATCAAATTTCACAAGTCTCCATGCGACAGCGCCCCGTGCAAGAACCGCACTGTCTATGTTCCTGAGTACCAGTGGGACTCCTACCACTCTGAGTGTCACCCTGAATTTTGTGGCATCAACTGTGAT